TATGGCATTCTTATATATTAATTTTCATAAAATTACGTTATTATTTTGAATTTTTCTTTATGTAATTGACTTTTTAATATAAAATATAAAAACGGATAATTATGATTAGTAAAAAATATATAAATTGACTTATTACGGGCAAAATCAAAATCAATATATTTTTTTGCAGTGATTATAAACTCCACATTCTATCAAACATCAACAACCGAAACTATCAATACCAATAATTAATGACGATGATTAAATTACATTTAAGTACTTGCATAGTGCACATTAGAAAGTTTTTGAAAAACTCAAATACCTTTTTGAAATGTTGGTTAAAACATCTACCACCTTATTCAAATAACTAAAATCTACTACAAATCTATTTTTAGTTATTAAACTGTTTTGTCACTTTCTTTCTAATTGGGATTGTAGCATAAAAGAAAGAGACAAAACAGATCAATGGCTGAAATAGGATTATGAGACGTTTGACGTTTATATGAATAAGAGCGTTATTATTTAAATTATTAAAATATGGTAAACATATTCCAATAATTATTCAATCACTCAATAATTGTTGGAATATAATTTTCATATTTTAATAATATTTCTACATTAATTTATAATTATTAAGTCAAATGTTTAATAATAAAGATACTTAATTATTAATTCATTACTTATTATTTGCATTTCTATAGGACACAATTATGGTAGACATATAATTGTATCTCGCAAAGCTATTTATGACTTTTTATGTCAATTTCTTTATCTATATTTCATTAGCCATTTTTGTGACATAAATAAAATTCGATGTAATATCTGCATCTGGATATTTATTGGCGAACCTATAAAACAAGTTTTATAGTACAGGTTTCTTAATGTAACTTATAAAATATCTACAATATTTGAGTGTTTTATTTAATTTTTATTGCGATCAACTATAAATAAATAACTCCAGGTCTGAATAATAAATTGTAGTGTATATAGCCAGAAGGGAATTTAATCTCCGTTACTAATACCAATAGTGGAGACCTCTCTTCGTTATTATATTAGGTTTTAAGACCTATAAACTTGGTTAGGACCCTTTATCAAGAATAATGTATGGTGTCAGGGCATTGCAATAAAGCTAACTGTTAATATCCAATAGGAATCCTTTTTATTGTCCTATTATAGCAGTATATAGAATGAATGAGTATACTTTATTTGCATTATACAATATAGGAAATAAGCAAGACAATTTACAAACACAACGATATAATTGTATAAGTATAGAAGTACAATAATATGACGTTAAAGTTATATTGATTATAGGAACTGGAATAATTAATGGTTATATTTATTTATTTATACTTTTGCACACATTAAAATATGTCTACAGGGCGGACTTAATGCCTGACAGCATTCTTTACTAGTCAATCATTACGCTAAACAGAGAGAGTAAATGGCGGTGCATTAATATAATAAAAACAATTTGTAAATTAAATAAAATCATGTCTTTTTATTATTATACTTGTATAAAGAGAGTTATTGTTAAAATTTGTTTGAGTAGTTATTTTTTGCCTTTGAACAAACAATAATTACGTAACACTTAATTTATGTGTTCAGATATAAATAACTTGCAGAACACCATAGTTTTATCTGCTCCTTTCACCGTGGAAGCAATTAAAAATAATCACAAAACACGTGTTGGTGCTAAGATATGTATCGTTAGTGGATATCGAGTTACTCACAATACACATTCCGTAACTAATTTGTGTAGATCTCTCAGTTTGCGATTGTATATATGTGAATATTAGTTGTACCTTTAGTTCGGCTGACTTCGGCTATATATTCGTATTTTAAGGGTAATTATTGTAAGAAAATATATAAATCTCCCTCTTCTTGTTGGTTTCGAAGTTTTTACTGTTTGAAAAGAGTAATAGCCGAGACATTTCCCTCTTTTCGTTAAAACATTTTTTTAAGGCGAAGTATCTAATATAAGATTTCTTAGAAATAGATTCGGCTGTTTTCTCGCGTAATGAAGTAACAATTTTACGTTTTTTAGCGTCTCTAGAATAAAAAAAAAAAAAAACATTATTTATAATTTTTTCATCATTAATGATTTATGTAATATTTGCAAAGTACAATAATAAATATAAGAGAAGGAAAACTGTAACCTTATACACCAAGCTGCCTGGTCAACATGAGAATAGGCTATACCCTCCTTCTATGAGGAAAGGCCCGTGCCGAGACATTAATGGGTTGTTAAGGCTATAGATTGTAAGCGGAGATCAACTTATAGTAGTGTGGTGGGAAGGTGTGGAAACAGTGAGTGATTACATGTAATCACGATTACAGCCGCGAGTGATGAAGTGATGTGCGTTCCACTGTTCGTAGTCAACAGATAACTTTATTGTTACGTAGTATTCCTTAGGGTTGCCACTACGGGATAGCTTACCACGATATCGGGAGATATTTTAGCACTTTTTATAAATTTTTAGCACTGTATTTTTTTTTTGAGTTGATTTTTGCAGTTCATGTATTTTATTTTTAAAGACCTCTATTAATAATACAACGTATCAGATCTGACGTTGCCATATAATAAATTAGTTTTTGAAAAAATACAAATTAAAATGTAAGTATTTAGTAAAAAGATAATGTTTAACTTTACTAACATTGTTTCCTTCACTTGCATTATACATTTATAAACAAACTTTACAAACTTATAGTGGCTGTTAAATTATTACTTAAGTGTGTAATTATGTATTGTTATAGTTTAAATAAATAAATAAGAAGACAGGATTAGTGCTGGTCCTTTTCTATATAGTATAATTTATGTAATTTAAGCAATCATTATTAATGATGACAAAAACCGTTTAGATATTAATGATTAATGTAAAATTTACAATCCTAAATAAACGGATGATAACAATATTAAATTTAGGTCATTATATAATGATGGTTAATTAAAATTATCAAGGCAAAAGAATCTACAAAGAAATAATAGACGTATATTGTAATTATCATCATTACCAGTAGCTAGTAGCGAATTATTAAATTGTAACTAGGTAGGCACAATTATGTACAATATTTTCTGTTGATAAATTGCAGAGATAAAGGTTAAAGCATTTACTTATTAATATATGTATAGAGCATGTAACTTTGGTAACAACATGTAGCCGTAATGTTATTATTAGCAGTAACTGTACTTATTATATAATTAAACTGTGATTAAATTAGAAAATTTTGATTTATATTATGAACATTGCTTTTTACAAAATAATTTTATGTATGTATTATTATTATTTATATTAATAAACATCAAAATACAATTATTTTTCAACCGAATTCACATAGAAAAAGGTGCTCAATTGGTATTTCTATTTTTTTATATATTTGTTACCTAATAACTCAATCAGTTGTAAATTGATTTGGAAAATTCTTTTTTTATCTGAAAGGATATGCTTACAGATTGGTCTTGTACAAATATTATCAAAATTAGTTTAGTAGTTGAGCTATTAGATTAAAATAACAGGTTTTGTCAAATTTGAAGTCTGGCGATTCAACAGAGTTGCATCTATATTAGCCACGTAAGAAAGGAGAATGTACGCAACTATTGTTGAAACGTAAAATAAAAAGATTATGTTCTAAGTTTCACACTTAAAATAACGTTGATATGTTTAAAACGCGATAATTAAAAATAGAGCGCACATTAAGCAATTACAATAAAAAAGCAACTTGAACAGAAAAAAATAATATATTTTTATACGATCGGTAACCCTACATCGCAGTTGTGTTCCACTGACGTCGTAAAAATTTGTTTCGACTTATGAAGCGTTATTATTATGATTGGTCGCAATGTGCTTCCGATGAAAGTCGTTAATGGACGTTGAAGAGTTGCTTATTATGTTTGTACTGGAATTTCTTATCCCACGTTAATTGCCTACAACAGGTGTAACCTCATATTTATGATGTATCAACTATGAACCAGCTTATTAGAGCAACACGCAATAAAATTTACAGAGCGCAATCTGTTCAGTATAGAATCATTTATAATGATTATGAAGTACCTAGATTTTAGTGTTAGTGCTAATGATGTATGTAGTTTGTAATGGCGTTTGCTTAGACTATAGATTATATATTTGCTTAGATAGATAGAGAATCAAAAACTGGTCAACTTTTTTGAAAAAAAAATGTGTCTGCTAATTTGGCAATTAGCTGACACGTTTTTTTTTCAGTGTTTTATATTATATACTTACTTTGACGTATTATTTAATAAATAAAATTATTGTTTACGTATTAAGTAGATGAAGAAATTATAAGACAAATTACATATAAAAGTTATGAAGGAATCACTCATAACTATTTATCACGCAAAATTGTATGAAAAAGTTGACCCGTTTTTCTCGAAGTATTTGTATGGAGACACTATGTATATAATCTAAGTGCGTTTGGTGTTAACCTATTAAATTATTTAATTTGTAATCGAAATTCTCACAATATATTCTTAGATAAATAGAAAACAAGATCTTTATTATGGAGAAAGCGAAGCAAAGACCAGAATTACAGTTTATTAAAAAAATATGTCAAATTTGTTATGATGTTTTTCTATGTGAAAAATACTGTAAAAGAGAGCTGTAGACTACTTATCCATTCTTAATTTATTGGTGTATCTAGGACAGGTTAACGTTGTTTATATTTTTGCGAGTTTATGGTTTCATTATTTTATTGACCTATAAACCGAGCCTGTGCTTTAATTAAGCAGTTTTATTGTTAGATTTCACTTCTTTTAATTTGATTAGATTAGGTTAGAAATATGAAATATATATAGAATAATAATATATAGAAGAGAACATTGACTCCTAAAACTGAGTTTTTTCAATCTTATATTAATTTAAAACGTTGAGAGAAAAATTAAGATTGCTATTATTTTAATTACTTATAAATATATTATTTTAATGTTTCATTATATTAATTAATCCGTGCTGTATGATCACTACTTACAGGAACAAAAAAAAAAATTAGTGATGTACACTTACCGATGCGTATTCCGCACAGCTGTCTATGGAATTGACGAAATCGCATACTTCGTCTACCGACCACGCCGTAAGCCGAGCGCGAGCCTCTGCGCACATGCAGTCACTACGGGCTTCACTTCGATCTGAAATATTTAAAGTGTTTAACAAAAAACAGGAAGAGACTTTAAATAAAACTAACAACGACGATTTTGTATAAAAATGACGTCAATTCACCGAGGAAGACTTTGCATATAAGTCATCTGTATTCTGTCCCACTGGAGTCTGCCATAAAACAGATATACCTGCATGACTGTGTTTCAGTTTAAAGAGTGGGACATGGCGTTTAGTGCCATATTATTATGGAGGCATAACACCATAGTCCTCAGGAACGGCAAAGCGTGAATGGTGCTATGGGTACCACAGTTTATTTGTACAAAGTCTACGTCGGACTATAGGCTATCTTGTCACAAGTTTGCAACTAAGTGTTACCATCATTAGAGATCCTATCTCGGTCTTCGCTATCACTGCGCGTGCTAGGGCTGGCGGATAGTCGCGCCCGCTTGGCGGCGCTCTCGCCCGCCGCGGACAGGTCGAGCGGGGAGTGGTCGGCGGGCGCTCCCGTACCGATGCGCTTGCGCCGCGACCTCCCGCTACGGTGCACCCGTGATATCGCCAGCAAAGTCTGTTCAATACATATTAATTTTATAAAGGAAAATTATATTTGTTTAAGATTGTTATTTCAGATAAAGTTATTAGAGGTATTCAAAACAATTTAACCATAAAGTATTTTGTATTTTTTTTATAATTATTAAGTATGGCAACAATTGAACAAGTTAAAAGGTATAATTTAAACTATCGCTTAGTATTTTTCTGTTTCTTAAAATTGTCTATAATAAAAAATACAGCCCACTTATAATTTCAAGCTGTTTATTGTTTTATTTAATTAACAAGAGGCGTTGTTTTACTATTGTCAATGTGGTAACATTCGACATGATCACATTTCCATTATCATATCGCTACTTGAGTGTTTATTTTATTAATATTATCTTATTTATATTTTATTATAATTTAACGTTTTAATTATTATATTTTTTTATGTGACAAGCGAACTACTCTATTGTCCTTGTCCTTCTATTGATTTCTGATGTTTTTGTTGACAATTTGTCTTGAATGCACAGAGCAACACATATAGCTCTGTAAATTCAAATTTTTAGAAGCATTTACTTATTATATCTAATCTTTTTTTTTTTTTTTATAAATACGTTTGAAGATGAAGTTTCTAAACCGGCTGCTTATATAAATAATAAAATATTTTAATTAACATTATATAATCGACATAAAGTATTTCATTAATACAGAGTTTGTTGCATTTTTTTAACAATTATGTACACGCTTAAAAATCAATTAAAAAGTCTAATTCTAAATACTTATATAAATATTGGATCATGTTTTTCAAGTTATTAAACATTTTTCTTAATTCTATTATAAGAATATTTCATATTTTATTTATTCTTTACATAGCTCAATACAAGTATATATATCAAAAAAATGCTTCACGCAAATGATTTTTCACTAACTGTAATCCTTACTTGTCATTATTGTTTTGTCTTATTCCATTTATTTGGGGTCGGCGCAGTATGTCTTCTTCTTCCACAATACACTGTCAGCTGTCATTTCAAGACTCACTCCACTTTTATGCGTATCATCTTTCACACAGTCCTTCTACTTTTTCTTCGGTTGTCCTCTTCCTTACCTATCTATCCATTTTCATACTTAACACGTTTTTTAAAACATGGCATTTCTGAGCAGGACATGACCATACCAATACTATATTATAAATATTATATTACTTCGCAGAATCGTAATCTTTATTATAATATTTATTTGATTAGTATCGATACTTCAGATATTGTATTAAAAATTTAATCTAAGGTTAGAATGGTACACTGGTTACATTTAACAACATTTTCATTCATTGTAGGATTCTCGATCTTTATTCTATTTAATAGAAATTCGATCTAGAAATCGAAATAAAATGGAACAGTTTTTTATAGATGTAATTCATTGTAAATACGCATCATTTATTTAAATTGTTGATATTCCATCGTAGTTTTCTATTTTTTTTTTGTTACCGGTATAAATAAAAAATTTAATTCGATTTTCCTAAGATTGGTCTTCTGAATGACGATTTCCTTTGAGATCGATCTTAGACCTACCGATCCGAATCGTATTAGAAAATTAATATTTCTGCCCAAGATCGGAAACCCTTACAGCACTGGCGATGTTCGAGACGTGACCGCCTGCCGCGTACTCGAGATATCGCCGGCAAACTCTGGTGAATTTATTTGATAATTTTAACGTAAAAGCTTTAATGGGTATTAATGACTCTGTAGAGGGAATGTGGACTGTGAAAGTAGAATGTTAGATTCCAATTTAATTATGTAGGCACGGTATAAAGTTGACTTGATAATTTCATTAGATATCAGTGAAATTCGAAGTACAAAGTAACAGCTTGTTTCTGAATTTGGTGTTCTATATGGCTACATATAAAAATCTTTCAGATGACAGAATCCAACTTTTTTTATGCAACTTAGAATGGCAAACAATCTGACGGCCCACCTGGTGGAAAGTGGTAACCGTCGTCTATAGACATGAGCAGTACCATGGACATAACAGAGTATACTGTTTCGCCCATGATACCCCCATACGTTGTCATTCCTGAGGAATAAGTGTTATTCCTCTGTATTAGTCTGTATCCTGTAAATTCATCCCATATCCCATCCTTCAAACCGAAACACAGCCATACACACCTACAAAAATAAAACCAAAACAATTAATAAATCTTTTGGTAATCACAAATTCGACCTAGCTTAAAGAAATATACGATTAGAGGCCTCTTTTAACAATTTCAATATAAAAATAAAAGATTTTTGTATAAACACTTAAAGAGATTTTTCAAATCTAACTTGTTCGACTGACGCCCAACGTATGTTTAAAAACTCAATTACTGAGAATACAATCAAGTAGCATCGAGTACAAGTATTAAGCAAACACGAAAGCGAGCGAGTAGGTTATTATCTGATCGAGAGCACTCTCGGATCGTAAGTGGCGGGCATTCATCATAATAACGTTCCGAACCGTCACGCTCGCCGCCCGCGGGTCAAATTGCAATCTATCTTTTTTAATTGCCACGAGCACTAAAAAAGGCGAATGCAGGGTAATTCCGAATAAAATTCAGACGAAGGCGCGCGCGCGTGAAATGAACATGGTTGTTATAGCGCTCGGGCGCGTGCGCCGACGCCCGCCGCGCCTACAAGCTACGTGCTGAAGCAGAGCCACCGCCATAAATCTCACGATTTATTTCCGCGTCGCTCCTGTTTCTCTTTATAGGCGAAAATAAATATAAACTACTATTTATGGACATGATAAAGCATAAATAGAAACCTAACAAACATTCGGCCGCCGCGGCCGCGACGCAACAGGTGTCAGATGTTAATAATACAGTATATTGCGAGGAAATATGCTCGGCTCTACAATTGAATATACATGTTTATGAGCTACGCAGAATCGCAATAGCATCAACGGAACAGCAATTCTGCTAGAAAGTCGAAATCAAATAACTGTAACGATTTAATACTGCAATTTCTGCGTGCCTCTAGCTGCACTCGTTTGCAAAAAGTCATCTAATTTTTAAGTCGAGCGCTGTTTCGATTTCACATCCCATCACTACCGTGTCGTGGGGCGCGTTCAGCACTGCGCATGCGCGGCGCGTGCCGCTGCCAATTAGTGCAGCTCCAGTTCCTTTTACAGTGGAGAGTCGAGACGGTTCGCTGGCGAGCGTCGAGCAATAGGCGGGGCAGCACTATTACCCCGCCGATTGTACGCGCACTGCAAAAGCTAAGAACCGGTGTGCAATTAACACTCTCTCCACCTTATCTGTGCAATAGCGAAGGAAGTGTAAAGGTCGTGGGCCTTATCAGATTTAATTGCCTCCATTATTACTGGAAAGGAAGCGGGTTGCTCATCGCGCATTATGATTTTAAAGAGGTTCAAATTAACATAAACGAGCCGTGTTCAATGGAGATGCCTTCCACGATAATGCCTTATGAATTTTACGATTCCCCGAGACATTTTAATCACAGCCGTGAACTATGAAACGGTGTATGATGTGTAATTAAAACAGGAAGGTCAGTGAGCACTTGTATATATAATTAATATGAATTTAAAATGTGTTCTTTTGAAACGAAAACTCAGCTGACCGTAAATTATTTCATAGGGGCAGTGGCCTTGCTGTAAGTAAAGCACGGTGAAGTAATACTCATAAAGTTGAAACTATTCAAAGGTTCATCTGATGAATATTAAAAATAGAATCGTTATTTCATTGTAGAAAAAGAAAAAAAAATTCTAGTCATTTGTTAGATTAGAGACATCCTGCTTCACGGCGCACGCGATCTTGGGTAATAGAAAATTATTTGTATTGAGGGTTCTATAATTCTTCTTAATTTTCGGTAGCATGACCTCTATTATTTAAAGCATAGTGCGTTATAATAGTTAAATTATACCTTATTTAGTAATAGATATGAGAAATTATATTCAAGGTAAAATCAGTACTTATTATTATTATCGTAATCTGTAACAATGTTACAAAATAGAAATGTAAATTTTTTTATAACATGTTACTTGCTCATACATTTTGAATTTATTAATGTTCTTCATCCAAGATTAACAGTCATGAACCTAATACAATTACATAATTTTATGAAAAACATTTGATTGCATTTTTAACTAAATTAAAAAATTAAGAAACATATGACTGTATTTTCTTTTGTGCATATAATCTCATAACTCTTTGCAAATTCTGTATTGCTTTAATTTTTTCAATGAATTTTTATTTATTTTAATTAATAAATATATAAAATGATATTGTCAATGATAGTAAAAATAATTGAATCTGAATCAAAAGGCTTACTTTAGTAGAGCTCATATCGAGCATAACAGGAAAGGCAGGTAGCCGTGGCGGGCCACCTTGTTGCTTCGCTAGCTTCGTGAAAAGTCCACCGAGAGGCGCATCGGTTGCGTCCGCGTGCGCAGGAGATGTCGTTGTTCGATCCACACCGAAGCCATTCATGCGGTACAGATAACTGGGTAAGAGATAGAAATTTTATTAATTTAAATGCAATAAATGCAAGGCAATTATATTATCAGTTTGTTTATTTATATTATGCAACATCTAATGAACAACATTTTAAAAAAGTGATTTTATTTGATTACACAAGGTGAAATCGAAATCGCGTTAGGATCCTTTGAAAGGAGTGTTCTATCAACAAAACTGAATAAATTCACCAAAGAAAAATGTGTCAAAAATGCATACAATTATAAACCTCCCATACTGACATGGTTCCTTCGACTGTTAAGTTACATAGTTTGTCGTTTTTGAAAAACGAATTTTCTGTTCTGTAGAACAGAAATATATAGCATAGATAGATTCTTAGTTTTATGTATCGCTAGCGACTTCGGTTTCATCCCGAATAATTGATTGTGTTTTATTACATCAGAAAAAAGAAAAACTAATTATCTTTGATAAGGAATAAATTATATAGAAGAAAAAAGATCGAAATGTTCCAGATTCCACACAAATACAATATAGTATTTTTACATTACACATTTAATAATAAAAGAATTATAACTATAACAATTAGAACAGTCAAATTGCGCTGAGTAAAATAATTTGTAGAAATACTATAATATTTTAATATGAACTGCCATTATATTGATAGATAGATAGAGTGGTAGTTATAGTTCGAATATAACAAGTCAGTAAGATGGCCGCTCGTGCCCGAGTACTGCTTTGCAGGTCACTCGGCTTTGTAACAGCACTAATACAACGGTAAACTCATTTAAAGTAAATACAAGTCAACAATAAATTATTGTAACATGCCTGGAAATTAATTTAATATAAAATTTCAAATTAATTGAAATAAAAATTAATTTTAATATTAACCGCCAAGTATTTCTGATCGCTATTAATAAGATTTTTCGTCTAATCAAGCACATAATTTACTATCAATCGATATCTTTAACATGAATTCGGTGTATGTCAAAACAGATAATATTTATAAGGCGCTTAGAAGCCCGTGATGCATGGATAATTAAAATTGACAGAGGTCGCCGACCGAGCACCGAGAGATGAACAATTCATTAATATAACATAAGTTCACGCCGAGAGCATCGGTTCTCACGAATCATGTAAATTTGTCGACTAAACGTAAGTTATCGAATCGATTAATATGCTAATTGGTTTGGGCATCACTAGTCGGTCGGTGAACTGCGGGTCGTAGTGTTGTGACATGGACGAAACACTCGACCGTGTGAAAAACACACGTCGCGACTCGAAATTCGGGATCGCGAGTGATGGAGCACTTCCTTTTTGCACTGACTATAAATTAACATTGTTAAAACAAGGTTAATCGTGCATTTACAGAACTATCGTAGAAAATATATAAATTTTTTTTAATTAAAGTATCATGAGATTTGGATGTTAATGTATTGGTATCAATCAATTCGAGCAGATGACATGAGCTGATATCATCGGGACCGATAATCATGTTAATGTTAAACGAACTCATACGTAAAATCAAACGTTTACGGTTTTACGCGATTTTTAAAAAAGAGATTTTCAATTCGTTTAATTTTTTTATTATTTTGTTACTCGATTGCGTCGCCAATTAGGAATCGATTTGGAAAACGATTATTACAATTTTTTTGTTTCGATATGTTTGACTTCTGTATTAATTCGATTTTTAATGTAATATATTTACTAAATATTTCGTTGTTCAACGCTGTATTTTATCGATATTAAATGCAAAATGTAATATTCAAGGTAATACTTATTTTCGCCGTTATATGATAGTTTCTCTTAAATTATAACAAAGTAGGTAACTAATTAAATAAATATACATGGTTTTGATTAAGATGGTATTGAATTACCAATTAATGAGCTTCAACCTAACTCACTTTAAGTAATTAAAACTGATCAATGTGATTCCATAACGATTATTTAGTAATAAAATATTTACAGAACACAAATAACGAATGTTATTAATAATGTACACTAATAATATTGGATGAACACAAATTAGATAAAATTTATACACCCACCTAATTATATATGTAAATAGAAAAATGATAACCTAATGGTAACTGTGATGAAATAAATTTTAAACACTTTCTGTTGCTTTTAATCATTATGAGAAAACTTTTTCCCGTGTTATTATATGCGATATTTCGATTATTTTGGACTGATTTTGATCATTATTTTAACAAAATAACACTTTTGTGTCTTATTGAGTCAGAGCCACACTCAAATTATGTCAAGAGGGAAACGGAGTTTTGTTTTTTTTTTAAAAAAGAAATAGATTAACAATTTGAGATCTTAAATTATAACCTTCATGTATTATTACTTTTGTTTATAAAGAATTATGTATAAATTATTTTTATATTAATTAGTTTTATATTAAAGAAGTATTGTAACGATAAAACAGAGTATTGCTGTAAAGAAATTTGGGTCAAAAATAATAAAAAAATTGGAGTCTCTCATATTAACAAGGGGCGTTCAAAAGTTGTACCATAACACTACTTCGATATCACCTTGTATATTCCAGAAGCTAAAAGGAACAACTTACTCATTGTTAGGATGTGTGTTGTATCGTGCAGCTAGCGAGCGCATTATGTCTGAATAGTTTCGTGGCGGATGCGCCGGCGCAGGGTGCGGGGGTGCGTGCGGGCTGCCGCGCTCCGGCGGCGTGCCCGGGTATGACGATGTCGACGGCGTCACACTACGTGATCTGTATGACACATGATATTTATGTGAAATTAAGATAACTATGGCGATAAAAATATTCGTATCTTAAAATGTAATTAATTGAACTCAAGATGTAAAATACAGAAAAGTACAAATTACCATCTTTACAGGTTTTTATTTAGTTTTAATCTATACTTATAATAAATCTGTAGAGAGGTCAATTCTGTACATGAAATATATTTCCAAAATAACTATCAGGGGGTGATTAGTGATCGATACTGATGCTAAAAATGCAATCAGTAAAATTTTTGTCTGTCTGCTCTGTATGTTCGTTATAGAAACAAAAACTACTCGACGGATTTTAACGAAACTTGGTACAATTATTCTTCATACTCCTGGGCAAGTTATAGTATACTTTTCATCACGCTATGATCAATAGGAGCAGAGCAGTGAAGGGAAATGTTGGGAAAACGGCAGAAATTACTACATTTTTAAGCTTCCGTCGCGTGTGCAGTCTTAATGGCCACTTTTTAAAATGTAAAAATGTCCACCCGTGCGAAGCCGGGACGGGCCGCTAGTATTAATAATAATAATAATAATTTTTATTTCAGACTTTTTGGTCCATTAAATATTTATTAGTAACAATATTATTAAAAAACTAATGTTAGTAAATTTACATACACAATACACACACATACACACATACAATATATTAAGCAGTATACAGATAATCACCGCTGCACAATTCTATTGGTATTAATTAGGTCTAGATAATTGGTAATTTTATAATCATATAACCGTTGAAACATTTAAATTATAAAGTAGGAACATTACAACAAAATATAAATAAGGTTATTATTATTATAAGTGAATAAAGTAACTTGTTATACAATTCTAAAATTGTAATGTTTGAACATTTTTGAAATGAAATAAAATTTTCAACACGGGTAAAAATTCATAAATTAAGAAAAAATGTATGTATTTAATTGTCTGAAACGAAGATTAATTTATTTAATTTGAACATATTTGAATCAATATATTTAAGATCAAAACGAAAAAAGTGAAGAAATATTGATTTTTTAAATCCGAATATTTGATAGGTTACAAATTTTGAACGGGAAGATTTATTAAAGCTTACATAATCAAAATTGCATTATATTCCATTATTATTATTATGTGCTATTGCACAGTACGTAAGAGAATGGGTTACTGACCTGGAAGCGTTTGAGTCATGTGGGCTCAGACGCTCGTTTTTAACGTGGGGTTGCGCTTGCACGGGCGGCGCTGGCGTCGGCGTCGGCGCGTGCGCGTGCGCCGGCGACGCCGCCGCATCGCGCGCACACCGCCGCGCCGCGCCGCCGCCGCCGCCGCCGCCTTCACCTGTGATAAACAGAAAAATAACATTAAAATTTTTGAAAATAAAAGATGTATTTATAAATAACTAAAGAAAAACGTGACTCCGAAAATACGAGTAAAACAGAGAGCATTCAACTGAATTTTACGCTCATTCGTAACTTGATATTTGTTGTGAAACATTCCAAAATGTTCTTACAAATTTTGTTAAAATAGGTCAATACTTTATTTAAATTATGCACATTTAAATAAAGTATTGAGTACCAAAAACGGTTAGAAAATTTTTAACAGAAAACGACTAATGCAAAATTGGATACAATTGTAGATTCGCGTAATCCTGTCTATGACCAAAGGCGAGTCTGTGATACAAATTTACTTACACAAGATTAAATAAATTGAGCTATTTTTGGCAAGGCGTTTGTTCAGAGACTCCATCTAGATTATAATATACCAATATAGGAGTACACGTAGACTTTCATATTTATGGTAAGTATATGTGTTCATTCATATTTGTCATACGATATTTATAAATACGGGTATTTTTAAATTACGAATTCAGAAGACACTTTTTTTCGTACGTATACGCTAAAAAAATTGAAATTGATAAGTTAGGCCCATATATAGTAACATTCAGTTAAATTGCGAAAATTAGTAGCTTCTTCAGAGTTTAAATGGTATGCCTAAAAACAATTAATAATACCAAGAAAGGAGTGTATGCACTTACATACGTACATCAAGACACTGGAATCTGGTTGTCGACAAAGTCGTATTACGCGCTAGATGTGTACATTGATAAAACCGCTCGTGAGCACGAGTAGAATTTTTACTCATAAAGTTCATGTGTGCATAAGGTCAAAAGCATAGGAGATGTAGGTAAGTCTTTATCTATGGTAAAAGTGTTTTTTTTTGTTCACTGGGTGTTGGAGAATTGATAGTCATACAGCCCGATCGTTGCAGTGTAGTAAATAAATGTAATATTTTTAACAAATAATATTTGTTAAAAATAATTAATATACACTAATATTTGTACAAAAGTCGATTGCTTGGGTACCTCAGTCCCATTCGTGTTTCTACCGTGAAGCAGTTGTGTTTGCATGGCTGTGTTTCGGTTTGAAGGGACTATTCTATGCCCGTATGTATCCCGTATGGTCCATACGGGATCAGACGTATATAAATTGTGATAATATCTTGCAATACACCAATGTAGCAATGAAACTTATTAGTATAAGTTATATATCGTATGCTAACTGGTATAGATATGATGGGATTTTTTATTAATATAGTTTTATTTTATACAACTTAGAATGGCAAACAAGCTGACGGCCCACCTGATGGAAAGTGGTAACCGTCGCCTATAGACATGAGCAGTACCATGGACATAACAGAGTACACTGTTTCGCCCATGATACCCCCCATGCGTTGCCATTCCTGAGGACTCAGGTGTTATTCCTCTATACCCAGTAAATTCACGCCATATCCCACCCTTCAAACCGAAACACAGCCATGCAAACACAACTGCTTCACGGTTAAAACACGAATGAGACAGAGGTACCCAAACAATCGACTTTTGTACTAAGTCTCCCTCTGGTTGACACGTAAATTGGCATGTAAAGTAGCGACATCTATATAAATTCATATCTGTGAACCAAACCAAGTCAAACCAGTGGCCAGAGAGTATAAAACAAAACGGCCGACCGAGTCTTGTGAACCGCGCGACATCTCACACTGCGATACAATCGCCGCCGTCCCGTCCGTTTGTGACTGCGCCGTCTGAATTCGCTTTACTTTCCTTGAACCCGATGCCATCTTGATATGTGAACCGTAAATTTTAGTTAACATTTTCAATCATGCAGTTCGGAACGAATACACATAATTTTATATGTTTATTTACTTATTACAGTCTAATTTTAACATTAGTTGAGTTACAAAATGGGTTGGCAAGTATATTGTCCATATTTTTTTCCATCCATAAAACAAAGCGCGATATTTTTTTTATTTTTAATATAATGTTTTTTTTTATTGAGGAATGGTAACCTCGCCTGCGCTAATAGTATACGATGGCGGGGCAGCAGTGAGGGATGATATGTGTTTGCATGGCTGTGTTTTGCTCTAAAGGGGATATGGAAGTGAATTTACAGGGTGCAGAGGAATAACACCTGAGTCCTTAGGAATGGCAACGCATGGGGGCGTATCATGGGCGAAACAGTATACTCTGTTATGTCCATGGCATTGCTCATGTCTATAGGCGACGGTTACCACTTTCCATCAGGTGGGCCGTCAGGTTGTTTGCTATTCTAAGTTACATAAAATGAAAAGGCAGGTCAGTTAGCCCGTCGTGATGAATACAACTGGAATTCAGCACAATGGTTTCTAGGGGAAGCCATATGCAGGTCGACCTGATAGGATACACTGCTAGCAATGGGTCTGATTACTAGCAATTCTTTCCGTCCCTCTCGAATGCGATATTTTTTTGTTTTTGTAAGTATTCATAGTTGATAGAAAATCAAGTCAATCAGGTTTTTAATAATTAGTGACTTTCAAATTAACCTATGTAAGTCTTTTTTTTTATTTCTGGTATATGTCGAACAAAGTCACTGGCCACTTATTAGCGACTTAAAATCAAAGTCGTTTCGATGTGGATTCGGAATTAGAATAAAAAATATAGATTAATAAGTGACTGATGTAGTAATATGTATTTTTTTTTTCACTTAGTAGGTAGGTAGATAGTTCATTTAGTCATGTCGTATATCATGTTTCGCGCCACATTAATATTGTTATGCAAATAACTTCCTACGCATCCGTACTAGGTTATTATTTATTTTAGAACAGTATTAAATCAAATAAATAGTTTGTTAATTATTAATGTCGGTAGTTAACACTTAATCACTGCCTTTTAATATCTAAAATTAACATAGAATTTCGTTAAATATTGATTTTTAATTTTATCTTAAAATGCCTTACCTTTTTATTTATTTAATAGAGAAATATATAAGAAATATATATAGGCATTAATTTTTTGGTTGCAAATAATACTCGTGAAATTTAAAAATATCAGTTTCGCAGTTCAGATGCCGATCGATTAAAATCAACAACAACGGCTCTGAGCAGCGATCTAATAATTTTCCTGAAGATACCTCATTTAGAGGCAAAATACGTATTACAAAAGATGTGTGAATGAAATGGTAGTAGAGATTGATGGTTAATATGGAAGGTTGTGGAACTTCTGATAATAATAATGGTAAACAATCTTCGAGTGTTGCCAGTCACACACATAATAATGGAAGCGAAATTAAACAAAATAATTCTATTATAATGAAATAACCAGTGAAATGAACTTTCGTAAAATAACACCTAGTTCAATAAAATACTTTAAAATATGTCTAGTGATATCGCAAAATATATGATGCAACACAAAATAACGGTGTAATTTCCTGTCAAGATTACCAATACCTATGTACCGAACCAATTATCTAAAATACCGGATATCGTTTATAACTTACTGTCATAAATACTGTGCTTTCCGCCAAAAATGATAAGTCTATTAGATTTTAGCGTTATAAAAACATAATCGTCGAGTATTTATTGTCTCTTCCCACACAAAAAACTATTAAAATTTTCAACCAAATATATTTTCCTGGGCCACTGCAAGAAGATACATAGGCAATAAAAACTGTTATTTAACTGACTATAACTGTTATCGCGTTATAATCACAAGTTATTTAGTTAAAATCTACTTCTATTGATATTGTCATGCGTGCAACATTATGCGTATAACCGATGTTCACTTTGTAAGTAATATCATTCGAGTTTCTTTTTACGCATTCAAAAAGTCTACTTTCTTGTCGAGATTACTATAGTATTATTTATTTGAGCGACATTCTATTGTATTCAAACATATATGGTGAGGATATTACCACAGAAGTAATGATTATAAATTGACAGGTTTTGTGGAAAACGTGCGGCTTATAGATATACAATGCTACGTAGGCGATAGTTATGGGTTCACCTTTTGAAAAACTTATAATATTATTATGTTTATTAAGCGATTATGTTACAAAGAGGACCACATACGTTGAATTTCTATATTTTGACTGAATCAAAGTAGATTAAATAAATACTTAATCATCCTTGTAGGTTAAATAACAATGAATAAACTAGTTTAAAATATTAGCTATATAATTCATAAAGAACGATATTTAATAACATTATTTGAATACCTGTTACAGTTCCATAAAAAATCGCCATTATTATAATAATTATGGCGATTATTTATTAGCATAAATCATATAGGTACATATATGATTTACGCTAATGTAAATTCGCGGGCTAACGTTTATAAAATTATAGCTATTTCATTTTTAATTTTAAATATAACGTACATATATATAGATAGATTAGATAGATAGATAGATCCAAATCTCTTGTTTTATATTAATAAAATGACATAAAAGTAATCATTAAAAATCATAATGCTGTCGTTAACACCTGTCGAGTGAAAATAATAGTATCGTGTTACAATGTGAACTGCGTGTAGTCGTTAAAGGCACAATTAATTATGCAGCTTTAGTTATCTATGACAAGTAACAGCTCCGGTCACACGATACATCACCAGTGATTAATGTGTCACACCACTAAATATTAGAGTGACAGAGTTGCGTAAGTAAATAATAACTGCCAGTGACATTATGACGTTAAAATTTATTTATTTAACAACCTGAAGTGACAAGATTTGCAACGTTTTATGATTTATTGATAGAGGTCGATACTAAACTGTGGTTGTACAATTAATAGCAATTTGTTAACCCTAAATTGAGCCTTGCAAAATGGGTTTCATAGAATTATTGCATAAAAGGTACTAAAGGGTAGATAGATACTGCTATGTGACCTTTTTATGAAATTTAGATTACAATCGATGGAAAGTGATAACCGGCAACTATAGACATGAATAACATCATGAATGTGCATTTCCCTTTAAGCATTTTCTTTCTGAGGACTATGGTATTATAGTTTTATAATATGTATTTTTC